CGGCAATCGAGTTTGCGTTTCTCCCAAACTCCTTTGTCGTTCTTGTAGTCGTAGAATCCGCACATGATGAGAGAGAATGTTGGAAAAGTTCTTATGTATTGATTGGATATGGGTGTAAGATATGATAAGGTGAGGATCTTGTTGAGTAGGGACGAGTGGTGTGTCTAATATATCTCAAAGTGAGCTCCCGAGGATCCGCCCTGCCGAATGCCTCGCCCTGTTATTTGAACCATCAGGCAAATGGCTACTTTACACGTGTTCTGGGCTCCAGGCAGAAGTGCATTTCCGAAATACCATGATTGGACTCGCATATAGGCAGAAGTGCAACAATTGTGAGATTAGAGAGATGCCTGTCCAAGGATGATTGGCGTAGGCTGACGTGACTGATACTAGACAATAACATGAGGGGGATAGATGTTATATAATTGAGATGATGTATTCTGGTTGTTTGTGATTCGCATAAAAGCTTAAGGGGTATGTCTTCAGAGACGTGACTCAACGCATTCACCGTGTTCGTATCGGGGACTCCATGAGGGAAAGTCATCTCCTGTACGGGGTGTTGAAGATCGGTCTCTAATGACAAAAGTCTTGGGACATCAAACCCGGAAACCACTCTATGAGGCTTTCAGGTTGAATTTCAATAGAGCGGGGTGTACAGTTGATCTGTAGTGTCCCATCTACCTGGGACATCTCTGCTTGGACCAAAACCTGGGCCCAGGTATAATTACATTTCCAGACATAAATATGCTCTAGGGAAGTAGATTGAGCGGCGAAGCTTCCCCAGGCGTATGTTCGGAAGCTGAGAACCATGTGGGAATGGTTCTATGATGAGGTACCTATGTTCCGGTGGCTTGCTCATTTTTCTAGAAGAGATGTCTACACATTGTTAGATCCCTGCCGTAAAGGCTCCAGTACAATCAGGTTGTGCAGCAAATCGGTAAAAAGAGTCGAGCAGAGGGGCATTTTGCTTAATTTGTATTTGGCGATAAGCTTACAGGCCATCCACTACTCCCAGCCTCAAGTAGGGAGTAGCGGTATTGACTTTCACACTGCATAAAATTATCACACTGAGCTTTGTGAATTGACTTTCCTCGGGCAGTCTCGGCTTTCTGTTTCCTGATCATCTGGGAACATAGAGAAAACTGGTGCCGCTTTCACAGAAACCCATTGTGATCATGGAAAGAGGAGAAAGGATTCAAATCACAGTCGCACCTACCGGAGCCTGGAATCACAATTCGTGCGGCCGGTACTCTCCATCCTTCCTCTTACTGAGCTTAGGTATAATAAAGGGGCGCTTGGCTTATTCTAAGTCAATCTGCCTCATCGCATGGGAAGCCAAAAAAAGCAAAAGAATACAGGAAGCCCCTGATCCCGGGTGATGTTTAAATTTCACCGCATGAATCTCGGACGAACCGTCGGGGACAATTAATTGTGCAGATAATGGCCTGCTTATAATGAGGCCGTGGACATGCTGGACGAGTCAGCAGCCTCTACTGTGATCTATCCCCAGGTTGGGAGGTAGCAAGAATTAGTCCAGCTGGGAGGCCATGAAAAAGCTTAATCCAGGCAGGTGGGCGGTAGATCGACAGGGACAGCAGTGATGAGCCGCATCTGGCTTCCGTCTTTGTCCATTGAGCTGACCTGAGCTCAATAGACTCTGGCCAGGATGTCATGGATGTGATGGGCGTCGGCCAGGGTCTGAATCACCAGCGTTGCATTGCTCCTGGCCATTCGGCCATTCCTGATCCATGATCCACGCCACGGGAGACCGACAGTGTTTGAGACCTGGATCAGCTCAAACCCATCCTCCAGGCCCCGATTGGGGAGGATCACGAGATTGTGGTTAGTGGGTGTTGGCGAACGGGCCCCTTTCATCAGCAATGCGCGTTTCACGAACTGACCTCCCTATTGCATCTGCCGGACCTCCCCTGGGCCCTGTCCTGCAATGCTGATCGCTGCTGGTGATGGCTTTCTTGCGTTATCACCACATCGGACCAAACCGCCAGCACGGTCGCATGGGCCGCTTTCCCATCCCTGTGCGCCAGAGACAGTTAATTTTGGGTTGACAGCCCGTGATTCATGCGCGCTCTCTCCCTGTGGCAAGCCGAGTCAGCGCTGTCCTACCGCCGCCCGTGGGATCTATGGCCTTCCGTCTCTCCAACTGGCACTTGTGTGATGAGGCGGCATGGGGGCCCGTCTGGTTGGTGGTCAGCGCAAAATGGCTCCTCATGTCTCCATCTCCAGATGCGTGTCGGGCGCCAATGGTGCAGAATCGCAAACCGATCATGCTGGCAGTCCCCAACCGGCAATCCACGACCAACCAGACGATGCCGCAATCCCAGGCGCCGGGGCTAGGTGCCCGTAGCGCCTCACACACATGAGACACTCTCACGCCTTGATTAGAAACATGCCAGGGTCTCCCCTGTAGCGGGAGCCTCGCGGACATGGGACAGATCTTGCCACTTACCCAGTCGGGCAAGTAAAGGCCCTGCGAGTTGCGAAGAGTCTGGACGACACCTCCTACGCGCCATAGAAGGAAGACCGCGCAGACTGGATGAGTTTCAGCTTCCACTTAGGCAGGAGGCCCAACACGTGTTGGTAGACAGAAGACCGAACAAGATGCTAGCTGAGCTGTTCGGGGCCGAGTGAGCGAGAGACAGGAGGAGTGAAGGCGAAAAAACCAAAGGCCATTCAGGTGTATATATTGTCGGGGCTTGCCTCTTCCAATTGTCGACAATCGTCAACAGCTCCCCCATTCATCCCCCCTTTCCATTCATTCACAGTCCATCCATTCATTCGGATCAACCTTCATTGTTTTTCTGGTTCGAGACAAATTCTTTGATCTCACCTTTTCAATCTTTCGCTTTGATCTGCACCTCGACGGTTTCGCAGCATCTTCCATCTCTCATCACAACAGGACTGCCTTGATTCTCTTGTCTGGACAAGAAATCCGTTTCACTTTTTGAAAAACCAAAACACAACTTCATCTATCAACAAAGCTCCTTCAAAATGCTTTACTCCGCCACTGCTAAGCTTGCCCTTGCGGCCATGACCGCCGGCATTGCCCAGGCCAAGTACACCATCGAATCCACGTACGATGCCTCCAACTTCTTCGACGAGATGAACTTCTTCTCTGCCTCTGACCCAACCCACGGCCACGTCAACTACGTGGACCGCGCTACTGCTGAGAGTCTCGGCCTGGCCACCATCCAGAACGGCGCCGTCTACATGGGCGCTGATTACGCCGAGACCAACCCATCCGGTGGACGCAAGTCTGTCCGCGTCGCCACGAAGAAGTCCTGGACTCACGGTCTCTTCATCGGAGACTTTGCTCACATGCCCTCCGCAACCTGTGGCACTTGGCCCGCCTTCTGGTCGACGCTTGGTAGGAACTTCTAAACATATACACATTTATACCAAGAGGAATACTAACATTTATAATAGAGGCTGACTGGCCCAACTCTGGCGAGATCGACATCCTGGAGGGTGTTTCAACCCAGGACTCGACCGCTGTCACCCTCCACACCAGCCAGGGCTGCACCATCAACAACGACGGCACTGACTCTAGCACCACCCTCAAGGGAACTGACTGTGGTGCCTCCGGAGCTGCTGTCGGCTGCTCCCAGATGACCTCCAACACCCAGAACTACGGAGACGGCTTCAACGCCATCGGCGGCGGCATCTACGCCATGGAGTGGAACAGCGACTACATCGCCGTCTGGTTCTTCCCCCGCAGCTCCATCCCGGCCGACATCACCTCGGGCAGCCCTGACCCCACCACCTGGGCCAAGCCCGCCGCCAAGTTCAACGGCGGCAGCGGCTGCAACATCGACAGCTACTTCAAGGAGCACAACGTCATCTTCACCAACACCTTCTGCGGCGACTGGGCCGGCGCCGTCTGGAGCGAGAACGCCGAGTGCTCCGCCCTCGCCTCCACCTGCGTCGACTACGTGAGCAGCAACCCCGCCGCCTTCAAGGACGCCTACTGGCTCGTCAACTCCGTCAAGGTCTACACCGAGGGCGGCGACTCCCCGAGCCCCTCCTCCTCCTCCTCCCCTTCCACCAGCTCCCCCTCCACTCCCCAGCCCACCACCTCAGGGACTCCCGTCTCCAGCGTTCCGGTCGTCTCCAGCACTCCTGTCTCCAGTGCCCCCGTCGTCAGCGCTACCTCTGCTCCCCAGCCCACCCGCACCTGGTCCTGGGGAGGCCGACCCAACTTCACCAGGTCAGCCCATGCTTAAGCGGTTAGGGAGACTCTGAGTAGAGTTTGTACATCAGTTGGGGAAAGTGAGCTGGATCTGGCTCTTGCATTTTGAACCGGCGTTATATAAAATTATAGGAGATCTACCAATGACTCCTAAGGGACTGGATGGCATTTCCATCATATCTGTACATAAATTATAGCTCGTACATGTAACAATACATATCTACATACCATGCCACACCTTTGCAACTTTTGAAAAACGTAACTTTGGGTATGAGCATCGCCATGCCGAGAGGTGAGCGATGTGTGAGAATCGTACCAGTGAACTGGAAGTGGACAATAAGACAAGCTGGCATTGCCACACGAGCAACAATGGCGCCCCCTATTGAGCACAGAAATCCCCATCTCAAATGCGTATACACCGACTGTGCTTATACGCAACAAGATAAAAAAATTCGGGGGCCCGGCACATGATTGTGAGACGGCAAACATTCTCGCCGAGGCCGGATTCCTTGTTCAACACTGCTGCTTTGCGTGTGTTTCCTGGAAAAGGGGACAAGGCGATATCCGACGCCCGCGAGAGCAAATATCCTCGAAAATCTAACATGTATGCTCGTAGCAATGGCTTGCGTGGTACACCCTTCAGAAAAATTGTATAAATATGACCAAAGCAGTAGGATCTGAGCCCAAATCACAGCTTGCTAATCGGATAGAAACCCCAAAATAAACTGGGAGCAAACAAAGGGAAAATTGAAATTCCCAGAGCGAATAAAACAGTCAAAAAAGCCCGCCCATCATGCTCGACTGCCTCCTCGTCCTCGTCCTCTCCGTCGCCGGCACCTCCCTGGCCGGCCTCACCACCACTACTAAGGACACCACTACACCCGCACCCTCGACTACTCACGCCCCCAAGCCGACGAGCTCGGTGAGCTGCAGCTACGAGTACTGCGACGGGAGCTCGTCGTGGTGCTACTACTGGGCTGGCATCACCGCCTACGATCCGAGCCGTGGTCCAATACCGGGGGTGACGCGCTCTCCTCTGGGATCCTGCGATCCCGCTACGTACTTGGTCAACACTACGACGAGTACGCAATCGACTCGGGCTTGAGAGATGGCGGTTGAGGGACTTCGAAAAAAGGGGGCTATTTGGGGTTAATCTAATGGGGTACAGTATTCTAGGACGGGTGGATTGTTACTGTGGTAATTACACGTTGGGCGGGTAATGTAGACATTTCGACCTACTCATCACTCTTTGTAATGAGTCGAAGTAGAGGCGAAGGAGGAGAAGGAAACCGAATCCAATTCTTTAGATCCATGTCTTCCGACATTCTATGCCAATTGTTATCTTGCTCATGTCTGTACAAATCCATGCTCTAACATCACGAAAGAAGCATCCATGTGAACAATTTGGTGCCTATACGGAAAATCCTCCTAGAAAAAGAGGAAACACAGCATCTATGTGCTCGTGAAAACGCCCATGTCCTCGACTCCTTCAAGTAGATATCCAATTGAACCTATCATACAACAAACTCACCTCCTGTTCAAAGCATTTCCGCCCCACTGAAACTCTTGTTTCTCGTGAGCGTCGCCCTGCCGAGGCTGGCCCTAGGTAGTTTCTCGAAGCTTGATTTCCTCCTGTGGTGGTGAGCTGGCCTGGTGGGTGATCCAGATGCGCCACCAGGGCCTACACCCTCCTCCGCGCTGACCATGGCATCAGCTGGTAAAGAAGGACTGTCTTTGATCCGTAGCACAAAGTACGATGATACCAGGACACATACACCACCAAGTGCGAGCACAACGGCAAAGCTGTGGTCGCCAGGCGTACCACGTGGCTTCTGCCAGATCTTGAAAATAATGCTTGATCCCACGTTGGCAATGATCTGGGGTGCAGCAATGGCCATGTTGTGGATGCCGAGAATGACGCCCGCCTGGTCCACCTCCTCCTCGTCGACTGCGTCATCGTGATGGCCGGAGTTGCTGGGCGCGCCCGCCCGTGCACTCCTATCACCACCGGGGCGAGACGAGGTCACAGACCGGGCCTTTCGAACCCGCACGAGGGCATCGCGGCGGCTGATTTCGGCACTGATGATTGCCCATGGTGCCCAAAGAGCCATTGCCCAGGTAATACCAACTATGCCAATCAAGACGGTGGCAGCCTCGACAGATCGCACAATCACGGTGCAAAACATGGAAAAGGCAAACAGCACCAATGAGCCAAACCATGCACGCCTGAGGGTGAAGCCAGGGATCTGAAGACGGTCGAGTATGGAATGGTCTTCCTCGTACGTTTTCAAGGAGTTCTCAGTCTCGCTCGGGGCATCACTCATGAGAGGCTGGTGGCCATATGTCGGCGCAATGAAAAAGGGCAAAAACAGATTGGTCATCAGGCTCACAATGGAGTTGACCAACAATGCAAATGTACCAACTCTTGTCGCTTGCTCGTAGAGCTTGTCGAGCTCTTCCGGTGTCATATTGGGGTTCTGTTCGAGATATGGTTCCACATAGATTTCGCCAATATAGGAAGATGTATAAAAGAGAAGAGGGAAGAATCCTACCCAGCCGAAGAATTGCACCTTGCACACCTTCTTGATTTGAGGGGGCAGGCGCTTAATTGACTTGAAGATGGAGAAGAAGAATACAAAGACACCCGGTCGGTCCGATGGAGGGGGACCATCCTGCCGCGGGTCTCTCTCTTTGATTGCTGTCGTGCTGAGAAGAATGGTGCTTCCGAGTGCAACACAAGCAATGGCACAGAGGATCTTGAACTGGGTGTCGCCGAGAAACCAGAGATACTTGGGGAGATCCAGATTTCCAGCAATATAGCCAAGGATGTTCCCAATTCCAGTAAGCCGGCTAGCCATGGCATTGACCGCCTCTTGCTGGTGGGCAGGAGCGCAATCAACCATGAAAGCTCGAATCGCGGCCTGGACAGTGTTGATAGCAAAGTCAAGGACATAGATACCGATCACTGCGACGACAATGACTGAATTCTTAACACCGGCGGACTGGGGGTCGGCTCCAAACAACCCCAGAAAGCCAGTGACGATCTCTTTTGTCCATGATAGAAAGAGCAGCGAAACAATCGTTGCCACGGCCCCTCCCACCATGAACGGTTTCCGTTTACCCCAACGAAGGCGGCAGTTGTCGCTGAGCATGCCCACATAAGGCTGGACCAGAGTTCCCGTTAGAGGGCCTGCAATCCACACGAGTGCCATAAGTGACTTGCTCAGCCCCAAAGACAGCAAATACGGAGATCCATTGGACAACTCCACGGACCACGCAAGCTGGAGACCACCAATACCGAGAGCGAGCAACACTAGATACCAGAAACTCTTGGTCTCCTGAGACTCGTCGATCGCATCGGAATCGTCAGCATCGGGGCTGGTAGGCTGACTACTATCACCATTTGCTGACAGAAGCGGCGAGTTCTCGTTTATTGGATGGTCCGGTTCGTGGACCGATACTCGGAGCTGATCCTCGCGGGAAGACGACGGCAAGTGAGACGATGAGGAGGCCATGATGGGCCGGCACCGATGGGTTGCTGCAGGGAGGAGAGAATGCCTCTCTCGTTGGGCTACAGGAATGATACTACTCGGCCGAATCGATGGGTGGTCGGGTAGAAATAACGAGAGGTAGGTAGACTATAGCGATGGATCACGAAGCTTCAGCCGATGGATATAGCAGTCTAGATTGGTGCATCGTGTCGCACGTCGCGGATGCTTTGCTGAAGGATCCGGCAATGGATAGTGTCGGAATGTAGAGGCGACGACTAGGCATGACCGTGGGAGATGGTAAATGGGAGACAAGTCACGGGCGCAATGCACGCACACGTACGAGGCTTGGGCTGAGTGGCAGCTGGCCAATTGCTCTGGTTTGCATCACCTCAGATGGGTGATCACGGTACCTGATCTCTTGATTAGGATTCAGCCAATCAGGTGCCATCTGCCAGGTAGCCACTGCAGGTACCACTATGACGACCACCAGGCCTTCACTTGACTAACGGGACAACCTGCTCCCATTACTATTTCCATAAGGGAGTGCTTCAGTAACATCCATCTACAAGGTTAAACCCATGATGCTGATCATTTGGGGAAATCTCGTATTGAATGTGAACCCGATAGCGCGGGCACAGCTTGGCCCAGTAGGTACAGAGGTGCTAATAGCTAGACACCTGTATTCATCAGCAAACCGCTGATTTCCAGCACTACCTTCCCTAACAGCTACCTATATCGATTGTGGCGTCATTCTGCCGAGCTGACTGCAGGAATCCATTGCTTTTTGGGTCAACCCTTGTTTCTGCCACAAGAGGATTGTATATTTCGATATATTTCATGGGCAAGAGTATGCCTGGGAGCTAAACAAGATAGTACATAGCTTGGCTTCTACAATCGTCACTTGCTAGGCTCCCTTGGACGTCAAGAAGATCAATGACGACGGCGCGGGGCCTCCGCCAAGCCGACGCATCCAGGCATCGTCACCGCCACCGCAACAACCCACCGTACAGAGGTATTTCTTTTGTCCCTTTGCTTGCTTGATGCCTCAAATGACGCTCCATCGACTGCAGTTCTTGGAGCCTCGCTCAGCTAAACCAGGGTTGGCCATGTCTCGTCCACAGCCGCTAAGCCCTTCTTCAAACACCATGCTTTGCGCAATGTTTGGCCAGTGAGGCGGGGCCAGCACCCAGATATTGCGTCGTCGCAGCGCTGTTTAGCCATTTGAAGTGGAACAGCTGTCAGGATGGGGTCTCTGGACGCAGCTGATCATCCAGTTGTGGGGTGTCCCAGGTATCCCGGCAGCGTTGAGACGGGGGACCGAGAGCCAGGACCACTGGAACACGTACAGGATGGGGCAAAGCGAGACGAAGTGAAAACAGCTTATCGCTCAGGTTCTAGAGGCTCGAATATCATTGGGACGCCAAATTACATAGTCGCCTCACGTAGCCAGACCTCCAGGAAGTGGTGTAGATCGGGAAGCGTCGGAATGGGATGATGTGTTGGGCCTACTCTACCAACATCATGTTACGTGGACAGTTTGGCACTGAGCACTGACACAAGGCATGTGTGGTCTTACCAATGGCTGGAAACAACAGATCCGTGCTGAATCAGTATCCCTGCTGCGGGATGTAAGATGCGATTTATGCCGTTGCACGCTGATGAGCAAGCGGGTAAAAAGGGTCTTTCAATGATCGTGATTTCGTCCTGCTCATCGTGGTTGTTATTAAATGTGCTATTAATATATGGTATTACACGTAAAGGTAGGTCACAAGAATAGTAGTGCTACTGCTGGAGTGCGGCGCTGTAGTTGTGAGAATCATAGTCAGCCATCACCCCAACATCCCTGCAGCGTTGTTTATTGGTACATGATCTTAAATTTCAATACAGGGAAGATAACCCGTCAAATGTATCATATATGTTCCTTAAAGTTGATTGGTATGCCGTTCCGCTTTGATTAAATGACCATATGAGCGGATGACTGGCTAAATGGCTGAAAGGGCGGCCTACAATGGTGCTATTGACGGCACGCACCATACATACAGGGCACAATTTGAATCGCCAAGCAATAGAAAAAGGAAGGCAGCAAGACAAAGGCAGGCAGAAGCAAAGAAAACTCTGTCCACACACCCTTCTGTCAGCCACGGTGCGGCGATCTCATTGCAAGGCGGCTGCAACGTCGCGTCTAACGGGCGCCCGGGAACATCGGGGTGCGGTGAGCTGGATTGTGCCGAGATGTCACACCCGGCCGGTATTAGTGTACCGCACGTATAAGCCTGAACAACCGCGTTCTATCAGACCTGGCAAAAGGCAGAGAGCGATGCGCAGAGAGCGATGGGGCGCCAGGGTTGAATCTGGCTGTTGGTACGTATAATGTGCGTTCATACCGACTTGGAGGCAATGTCGAGGCCAATGTTCTTACGTACATACCTACTTCTTCTGGGCCGGTTTTTCTGGGGCCTCCGCGTCAACCTGCTTTGGGGGTTCAGCCAAGTCTGGAGATGTTGGAGCGTGCCCCCCGTACCGCTGCTTCCGTTGACAGAAGGGTGCCCTGGGAAAAATACGAGGGTGCAATGGGAGGGTTCCGGCTCCTGGGCAGATCAACGATGTGGTTACATGGAAAGATTTTGCTTCTAATCGGCGACGTGGCGCTGGAATCTATTGAAGACCTGCACAAAGACACCGGCGAAGGCGAGGCCCTAGAAGAGATCGTGATGCAAGCCACCTCAGCCAAGACGATCTAGAATAAAGAGAAGAAGCCGCCGACTGACAGCCGGTACCACCCACTTGGTGACCAAGGTACCTACCAGAGACCTGGCAGTGGAGAAGCCCTGAAAGTACCTCCCTAAGCCGGGTACTACAGGCATCAATCAATTTCTGGTGGCAGCCTTAGTGAGATGAAATCTTGGACCCGTTCCCGCTTCGGGACTAGCTCCAGAGCTGCTCTTGGGAAAATCCCGCAAGCGCTCCCTCTGACACTGACTGTCATGGAATGAAACGGATGCGCAGCTCGGAGACTTTCACTGAATACCCTACCGTCTGAGGAAAGAAGGATGCATAGCTCATCAAACAGCCGTCTATTTCAGGTTTGAGGCTGCATCTTTGCCGCGAAGGGGCATCCAGACAACGACCCGGTAGCGAATCGTGACGGGCTGGGTGATTACCCAGACTAAAAGGGTTTGATGAACCGTGACTGTCCTAGGTGCCAGTCTAATGGTAATTCAGCCCGCTCGGCAACAAAAATAGTCAATGCTAACCGTAGGTATTAGTCCAACGGCGATCAGGAGGTAGGGAAACACAGACTTCAGGAAGCCCCTGATGATTGTTCCCATAAGCAGACAAGTACAACATTGGTCCGACTATTTACACCGAGATAACATGACCTCTAGCTTCACCAAAGCCATGTCTCCCTGCTTGATAATAACGACGGATTGAAAATAGGTAGCGAGATATTTCGGCCTCAGCTCGCCCACGAATCCCACGATTGATAACCCGAGCGCTGCATGCATGCATGGGTTAGAATCTATTGCATGCCTAGCCAGCGCCCATCTGGGTCTGCCACCCCCAACGTCAAAAGCAGCGCTGCAACGAGCACCTGGACCCTGCTGATACCCACGGTAGGTACCGACATGGTTGCCCGGTTGGCGCTGGAAATGGTGTACATAACTTAGTCGATGTGTGGAGGGCAGACAGGGCACGGATTTGAGGCAAGACAACGTCATGCGGAGCCTCCGTAACACTAGCGGCAGCAGACGATGAAGATTGTCTGGCTGAGGTACTTCTCTGCAAACGTCCACACCCCACAGCCTCCGAGGTACCTTTCCCGGTTTGCCCGTCAGCCGTTCCATGGTGCCCAGGACTGGTTGGCGCAGGTGGATGGTGGAGATCCACGTAGATGGGCGAGACCGTCCAGCGACTAGACAAGTGATTATGGGTCCCAATCCAGAAGCCCGTAGATTGCCGGTGCCCTGCCATCATGGGGGAACCAGGATGTGCCAGAGCCAACATGGTTATCCGTCCTATTTCTGCTGGCTGCGCATTGATTTATAGCTCAATCCATGAGACCTTATAAGTCAACCGTTTCCTCCCACACGATATATCCACTTCCCTTTGATCTCATCTTCGACTCTCGTCGTCGCCGTCGTTCGTTGTGTTGATCGTGCCGTCCTCACCACCGCCAACACTTCCCTGCCACTCTCCCGGCTGATCAGAGTACAACGTCGCACTCTATCTCTCCATCTGGCACACTCAACCGTCCCTTACATCAGGCACCACGTGCGGCTACAGGGGCTCTGCGTTACAGGCACCCGCCAGTGTATTGAAGAATCATTGAACTTTTCCAAGTCGACCTGGAAAAAATATATCCATTATAATGGCGATTCGCGATCGTGTCCGACGTGCTCTGCACAAATCCGACGACTCCAGCGATTATTCGCAGTCCGGTAGCAACATCACAACCACCACGACTGCCACCACCTCAGCCTCTGAGACCAGCTCCACCTCCACGAGCTCGTCGCTGCGACACCACACCTCCAGATTCTTCTCGTCATGGAGGAGCCACGACAGAGACAGGATCAGCGACCACGAGAAGGAAAAGAAGAAGAAGAAGAGGTCCAAGCCCATCCACCCTCGCGATCGACCACTCACCACCACAAACATCCGCCACCAGGAGATGCTGAGCCATTTCACAATGACCTTTGGCTCCAGCGCCAGTCGGCTCAGCCAAGTAATAGACGACTTCGAATTCGACGGTGTCAGTCCCTGCTGCACACGGGCACCTAGCATCAACGGCGACTCCATCGCTCCGGATGACACCACCACCGGGACGAGGACATCGTCAATTGACGAACCACGGTTGATTTGAACAGGAGGCGCCCGCCAATGCGGAAAGCCAGCCACCAGCGCCCCTCCACACCACCATCAACGAAGGCCCGATGCGGTGGGTGGGGGGTGTTTTTCTGCATAGGCGCACTCGCACTCACACACTCGCCACAATGGCGACGCCCACCACCATTTCTGGAGCGCCTGTGAATTGGTCACTTTTTTCTTTTTGTGGATATTGCCCGAACGGTTTCACCCGGTATGGGATGCTGCCTTTCAATATTTCTGGGCAATGCGGAGTTACAAGCGGGGGGTTACGGGCGGAGTTCTTCATTTTCGCGCACCCGGAAAAGTCGCCGAGACCGACACTGGACATATAGTCGGCTCTGGCGGTTTTCCGGCACTACAACGAGCGATGAGCGATGGGACGGATAGAGAGCATGTCCCAGAGTTCTTATGCATTACCTACATTATTGGCGTTTGGGGTGGCTTTATTGGTTCCAAGCATAGAACGACCGAGATTCAATAGGATTCAAAGATTCCTGATATATAATGACTCGGCGACGGGGACATACACACACGATATAGGACATGGGGATATGAGCAATGAGCTATGGCGTTGAGAAAGAGATCTAGATAGACTTTAGACTACCGATGAATTTATTGATGTTCATTCATTCTAAGCTTCTTTTCTCCTGGCATCTTCTTTTCCAATAAACATGAATGAATAGAGCAGCCGGTTAGGATGTCCGCGCTTCCGGCATTGCGGTTCTTAGAAGAGCTTTATGGGAGTGGATTTCCGTTGTGATATTTCCCTTTCTTCTACATACCAGATACATGTTTAGCACTGCGGGCTCTCGTTGCATCGGTGCCATTGTCCTCTTGAGACGCTTCCGAGCCAGGACCAAGCGTTTCTGGGCAGCGGTTCGTTACCATTGTCCTGGACGACATCATTGAAGCCCTTCCCTCCCTTTGCAGGTAGGTATGCAGTCACTAGACCCAACACCTAGAACGCAATTGTCTCAGCAGTGATTTCAACCTACATTTTGCGAGGAAGCCTGGATTCTCTGCTTCTGCAAGTTGCCACCGCAGCTACGAAACCACGTGTTGAATTATTTTCTTTGACTTGCAGGCTGCTCGGGTAACATGTTGATATCATTACAACCCGGGAGGTGGAAACAGCTGCGCAATTTCCTAATTCACACTCCGAGAAGACTATAAAGGTTGCACACCAGGGAGGATATATCAGACAAGAAGGAATGTAATAACAATATTATCCGCCAACCTTCAATAGCCGGCTGTCTGACTCAACTGGGTGTCTCAAAGCCAGGAAGTGAAAACTCCCGAACAACCTACATGTTAGTATGCACAGAGCCAAAATATAAATAGAGAGTGCCCAACTTCCTTCTCTACCTCTACTTGGCAGTCTCAGTCAACACTACTGAACACTATTTAATATCTCGCAACCAAAAGATGAAGTACCAAACTACTATGATGGCTGCCATCGCCGCAGCACTTTTCGGCGTCTCTTCTGCCGCTGCCTGCAAGTGCGTACAGAACAACGTTGTAGCCCACGATGCGAGCATGGATTGCTGCCGTATTTCTGGGGGTAGTCTCGTTGGGGGTTTCGGGGATGATTGTCAAACGCAAGACCTAGAATATTTCATGAGTTGCTGCAAGAACAAGTACAAGATGAGGACCCAGTGCTAATAAGGTATGTGGAACGGCCTAGTATGCTGATGAGCGAATGCTAATCGAGCGGCAGAGTACTTGATGGGCTGAAGACGTTTTGTTTTGTTTAAGGGGGGAGGGGGTTTAACAGGGGTTTCCCCAAACGTTTTAGACGGGTGCTGATGTTTAAAGTCAATGAAGGGGAGGAAACTTGTATTTGAGAAGCAGCGATAGCCAAGTAGCACGACACAAATTATCTCAGGCGATCACGGCATGTTATGAGAAGCAGTTGAGGGATAAAACACTCGGCTCACGAGTTTATGTGTGCTCAGACCGTTTTAAATACCGGGAGAGAAAATGGCATGAGCACGGCAGCAGCCAGCGAGTTTGGGAAGATGTAACAACAGATAAATTACGAAAAGCCCCCATTTGGTGAAAATCACTGAAGGTTCCGTACTCAAAAAGCGTTGTCGGTGTTGCTCTCGTCTAATACCTGAGCTTGCGCCCGGCATCCGGCTCAAGATCAATCGATAGTTGTAGATTGACCGAGCATTGGCAAAAGACGATGGGTTGTTTGGGCCCCTTGGCCCTTATGTATGAGGGTACGAAGAGAACCTACCTATGCTGTGCCGTGTATCCAAGAGATGATGATCATATCTATATCATCTGTACTGGCTTAGCAGCAGTTGCGATCAATGCAGCCCAGGGCAAATGCAGCCCAGGGCAAACGCACCATGGGCTCAGACGCGCTGGGAAAACAGCTACTCAATCGCGGCTGGTCGTGAAGATGGAAAGGTAAAAACGCCCGACTCAGAAGACAATTTTTAGGTCTAATCTGCTGCCTGCGTCGTGATTGGTGGATGTGGGATTATGAGGGGCTCTCCTACAGCCGTTGCCGAACCAGGTTAGAAGCAGTAGGTGCAGGTAAAAAATACGATGGAGTGAGGGCTAACTTCGGAACACCAGGAAAATAAATGCACGTGACTAAGTTTGGTGTGCGCACAACTCGTGCCCTACTCTGGCCCCACAGGGAAAATTCCACCATGTAGCGAGGGCATTGAATTCACTGCTTCCACTTAATCTCGAAAGCATCGAACATCTATCCGAGCACAAGGCAATCAACACAGTTGCCCATCATGTCGCTCGTATCAGGAGAGAAGACGAACTTCCAGTTCGTAAGTCATCACCTCACCAATCTGCGCAAGCAATGGTGTGCGTGCTCGCCGCAGCACGTCGCCGCCGTCCCCCGACTCTGGACGCGCAGGTTTCGAGCCATGGAACAAATTTGGCTAACAGGAATCTTTCTCTCTAGATCTTGCGTCTTCTGAACACCAACGTCGATGGCAAGCAGAAGGTCATGTACGCCCTGACCAAGATCAAGGGTGTCGGTCGTCGTTACTCCAACTTGGTCTGCAAGAAGGCCGATGTCGATCTGAACAAGCGGTATGAAGCATCGAATTATGTAGACGGGCAATGTTGCAGAGTACTAACATGATGCCAATAGTGCCGGTGAGCTCACCTCCGAAGAGCTCGAGCGAATTGTCACCATCATCCAGAACCCCACCCAGTACAAGATTCCTTCCTGGTTCCTGAACAGGCAGCGCGACATTGTCGACGGCAAGGACTACCAGGTTCTGGCCAACGGTGTCGACTCCAAGCTCCGTGACGATCTTGAGCGTCTCAAGAAGATCCGTGCCCACCGTGGTCTTCGTCACTACTGGGGCCTCCGTGTCCGTGGTCAGCACACCAAGACCACTGGTCGCCGTGGCCGAACCGTCGGTGTTTCCAAGAAGAAGGGTGGTTAAAGGTTATGATTGTTTATGGTATAGGGTGGACACAGGCGTGATGGCTGGATTCTGCACCTTTCTGAGCATTTTGAACGGTTTGCTACATGGCAAGGGTCTTCTTTTAGTTCAGAGATATTGAACCAAAAGCATTCAAAGAAGAAAAAAACGTGTCCTTTTTAAAGTTATTCATACTCTCCCGATGATTGGTGTACGTGGAAACGATAGGCAATGCCTGGTTTGTGGTGTCCATGAATGGGATTGTTCAAATACTGGCTGGGTATCATAAATCATTACCTATGCGTCTGTTAATCTTCGTGCGTTACAGCCATGTCCAAGACCTCGGCTCTGCCTTGGCCTTTGGTTTCGTTGGCAATGAAATCAGAGAGTGCCTTGAAGGCGCCGGGCTCAGCGAATCCAATGACCTCCCACTCCGAACCCATGACGTCCTGACTTTCCACCTGCTCAATATACCCTAAGATTTTATCCTTGACCGTTCCAGGCGCCTTCTTCTCCCCATCCTCATCCTTAGATGCTGCTCCCTTGTCGCCGCCGCTCGACTTGACAGCCTGCTTCAGAACGCTAGTGGAGCATGTGATGCGTAGCTTCATTCGTGCGCGAGCGACGGGGATGGGCTGGTGTGCTATCAGAGCCCTCATCGCGTCCAAGGCCTGACTCTTCGCGCTCTTTGTCGTAGAAACACCAGTCCAGTTTGCCTTGGGCTTTGCCTCCCCTTCTTCTCCCGTCGCCGGTGTGCCGGCGCCACTACCAGCGGCAGCCTTGTCAGTGTTGTGGGCTTGCGAGCTCAGCATGTCGAGTGCCTTCTCGATCATGCCCGACGTGTAGACTCGTTTCGTCCGCGGGTCGACGAGCTTGCTTGAGACGATGGCTATGACCTCATTGTGGACGCGTTCCAGTTGGGCCGCCCGCTCTTTATCTCCCACTTGCTGTTCGCCCTTTTTCAGAATTTCGAGGATGATATCATTGACTGGCTTGCCCTTGCCGAAGGCTTTCTCGAGGTCTTCTTTGGGGGCCGTCTGCCCCTTCGAGACGTTCAGGAAGACGTTGGGGATCTGGAGCACATTGTCGAGGTTCGTTTCGATGCCGGATCGCCACTCGAGGACTTTGTTCTTGTAGCATGCGATCTCGAAACGCTTCTTGCCCTTTTTCAGGCGTACCAGGGAAACATTGGTGAGTTTGATCTGGTTGGAAGGCTGGTTGATTCGCGACATAGTCACGAGGGGCGCGACGACAGTGTCGTCAACAGGCAGCGAGTTCGAGTTTCAATCGTAAAGGAGGCTGGTGTGAAGAGTGAGGGAAAACGCTGCAGATTTGCTTGCTTGTTTGTCTGTTCAGAAAGGCTTACAAATGGGCTGAGCATCGGCCGTTATCTGTCCCAAATTTTTTATCAGCACAACCCCGCCAAGACGCAAAAGAAAAAGATGGAGGGGAGTCATAATTGCTCTTGATCCCACCTCTCCGGTGGAACTTTGGAACTAGTACGCCAAACAGTACTTTAAATCTTACCGTGTAGAAGACGTCAACAGAGCTTTTTTCTTTGCTTCTTCTTCTTCTCTGATCATTCAATTGAAACGTTAGATATAAGTTGATTTTTTTTTCTAATTTCAAATGGCTTGGAGAAATTCTAATAATTTGAGCCATACATGGGAGCCCTTCATGAGGGAACGAATGTCATTTTTCTGTTTCTGCGCTTCTTTTGAAGAATCACACCGTACGCTTTGCCCCTCCACAACTCTGATGCTTCAACACGCCTTTTTGAGTAACAACCACGGATTGCTCAAATGGTGCAGGTCCTCTTAGTCTAGACCTCCTGGGAGTCATTGGCGGGCATTTCTAGCTTTTATTTTCGGTTGTGAATGTTTTGATAATTTCTGCTCAACTAAGGCTGACTCTACCAAACCTAAGGTGCCCAACTTAAGGGTGTCAGGAGCTCCGGCCAGGACAGCAACCCTTGGTCCGTTTTTGGTGAAATTGTCTACGATAGAAAGGCTAAGGTTATTGACCGCAAGAAGTTCACCAACGATGTTGTCACGACTCTTGTTCAATGACGCCCTGCTTGAGGGCTGGGAAAGAGTGACAAGCACGAAGCCTCATCCCTCCCCTTCGCGATCACGTGAAACGTGACATATTGTACCGAGTAGTTTGATATCGTGTGACAGTGAGGTTCCTCGGGAAGACTCATTTTGTCGGCGTCAAAGGCGCCACAGCTTTCGTCATCTCATTCCCTCACATCTGGGCGAAGACGAGAAGGAGGCGGCAAGGATCCATGCATGATTCCCTGCGCCATTGGCCAAGACTCTTGCTTCCGACTCACGCGAGATTGTACACCCGGTCTTCACGCTATTAAGACATCTCGCTTCCACATGCGATTCCTTGAAGCATTTGCAAGGCCCAGGATCCAAGACGTCAGCCATCTTCCTCAACGACACAGCCGAGGTCTATCAAGACCAAGATCAACAAGTAGGTATCAACCTATCTTACCCAATGAAATAAGCAGAGCAAGTATACAGTTAGTTAGGTACTGTGTAGACATGCTTTATTTGATGGACAGGAGTCGCGAGTTGCATTGTGAATTGGGCGGTGATCCCCATATTAATGTTGCATACCAATCCTGCAGTTCTTCTTAGAGGACGATGCTGTAGGTAGACCCTATATTTTACGTTGTGTGGTTCTCAATCAACATTCTCTAGGAACCGCTAACCGTTCAGGTACGTTTCTTTCTTCAGCCATCTCGCCCTCATAGTGAATTAGATCAGATAGTCAAAAGAAGCTACTTAAACAACAAGAGATCGAGCGGAAGAAGGCCGTTAAAGCCGCAGCAACAGAAAAGTCATATAGTGCAACGGATTAATTACGAAGAATCAAAATTGTTTGAGTCTTGGCAAGTGGTGTTTGTACACTCACTTTGGCCAGCCTTGAATGGCAATCTTTATTTAGTCTCTCGAGTTTACGAAAACGGCAGGTAAACATCTACGTAATTCGATATAGTAGGTAGGTAGGGATCTGTAGGTACAAGAGGCAGGACAAAGACATGCATTAGCTTTTTCGTTGAGCTTTTCGCCCACTCGCCACTCTACCCAAACAAATGGGTGGGATAACACGCACCACACACAAGGATTCCAAATTTGCAACTTCTGTGGAAGGCTGAGAGCGGTGTTTTGGTTAATGTCCGCCCCGTGCCAAGCTTCAGACATTCAGCACGGCCCAGAATACCACATAAGCCTGGCGAGGAATGGCTGGAATCAAGGATATTCACACGAATCACTGAGAAGCACAAGAGCGGGTGTCGTCAGCTACTGAACAAGGGCTAGGAGCCTTGATCTGCAAGACTTGGGTCCCGACATATCTATTACACCATCCTTTGAGATGCCAACATCTCGACGGGATTTCTCGGTCCACTCATTGTCGGGGGATGTTCATACGTATATGGCAAATTCGCCCATGAGGTCCGCCATTACTAGAAGAAGCATTCATTGTGTTTCTCTTTCTTCAAAGAGGGAGCCGCACCTCGTGAGATGTCTACCCCGCGGAATAGTTGTATGGGGGCACGATCCCGGGATTCACCGTAGAACATCTTACCCCATATACTACCTAAGCAAAGCGTATAATCGTGTTGGATACGGCTTGGCTGATGCCTCGAGACTCCGACATCCCCACTATTAAAGGTCATACATACAGCCATGTAACCACGGAGCGTCTGTTACAGGTGAGTATGTAGTCAAAATTGTTGAAAAGGCTACCCCCACTATCAGCACGCTCTGTCAATGCCACCATTCCGAGCGATTGGATCTGCGTTCCAAGCTATAGCGCCATAACCCAAGCGGCAAGTTAAGAGGCGTTGATCTGAGCCAACAGGGCTAATGAATTGCCACTTTAAACGCGGAGTCCGTCATTGTCCCTCGGCCTAAGTCTCGAGGTAAAGAAGTGAAGTGAGAAGGAGGTAGGTACGTAATTCCTTGATTGGAGGAAGGAGTTGTCGGTGTGTGACCCGTTACGTCTTAGCGCGTCCCCAACAAATTTAGAGGTGGGCCCGGCTCCGACTTCTCCACCCGGCCATCGGCTACCGGCGGGACGATAGTGATTCGCGTATAGAGAGTGTGATTCCTGCTAACAACCACCAGGTAGCGTCCAGGTGGCTCGGGATCCGCGCTGTTGTTCTTTGGGGCCTGAACTAGGAAAATTCAGGGACCTGCTAGACCCCTGCTCCCGTCCATCTGGCAAGACCTTGGGCTTGTGCTGATCTGGGAAAGTGAACACATGCCTACTGGTCAGCTAGACGGACCGAGGTTCCTTCTCGATAAAACCCAGCTCAACAGAGCTGCCTGCCTCCCTAGATCAGAAATCAATCTTACCGGGATAGCGATGAGATCTCGTATGCTTGCCGCCTGCCTTCTGATGGAAGTTTCCGCGATACGCCGGGCAGCAGACATCGTATGTACAGATACAGATAATATGCCTGCGTGCTGGGTAAGTAGTAGGTTGGTGTAGAGTTTCGAATACTGTCCCAATGGCTTGAGCGAGTTGCTTGCCACCTGTTTTACCGCCCGGCCAGCCATTTGTCGCTCCAGCAGAAACACTGATGGCGAGTTCGCCCAGCATTGCGCGCCAATAATGCAGCGACCTGAGCTCTTGTTGAGTCCCCGGCCGATGCTGTGACCCTCCTCCACCTCCTCCATACCTCATCCACGGCAATCTAACTACTAGCAGCCGGCCGAGCAGGTACCTTGTGCATTTGTTGATCCATGGCAGGTTTTTCCTCCCCTGGTCCTTATTTTCTGATCCATATCTCGGTCCCCTCACCTCCTTTGACCCTTTGACTCTATCCCTGCTCCTCAGGTCCAACTTTTTATATCCGCCCGCGCCAGAGAACTCCGGGTCTGTAGTCCCCAGCGACTTCCCTCACTTCGTTTCTCTCTCTGAGCTCCAATTGCAGGTCTGAGAACTTGGGATTTGACCATCTTTCAGTACCACACTCTTCAGCACTCTTCATCATGTCTGAG